TTGTGATAATTTTTGTTTTTTGAAAAACAATCCCTTTGGGGAATAGGGCTCACTGACCCAAGAGATCAGGAGTCTAAAGTAACCCAGACATTTTCACTTTAAGTTTTGTCTCTGGTGAATCTCTGGGGAACTGAAATGCTCTTTTAATGCCAAAGCAAACTGGCCCTGATAGCAGAACAGAGAATGGCTGCCTGTTTCAGACAGTTTTTCCATATATGTACGGACAAGGAGATATAACACAAACAACGAACTAATGGGCTCTGCAGTGGTAGAACCTGGGTTTGAATCCTGACTTCACTACACTGGGCAGGTCTTCCAGAGCCTCAATTAAACTGTAAAATGGGGCAACAAGCGAAACTTCTTAAGAGTTGTAAGAATCATTCATTAGATAATCCATGCAAATCGCCTAGCACAGAGAGTTAACAAAGGCAAATGTTACCTGAACAAGAGGAAACGAGGGTCTCTTTCATCTATGTTAACTTTTGTCTGTAGAGGGGGGAAAAGAAATGGGTAGACTGTAGGCAGATGTATTGCTCTGTGGTAGTAATGGACTTTCCTAAAGCTGTTTCCCTGGACCATTAATAACCCTGCACAGTAAAGGGTTACTGTTCTTCAGTGTGAGCAAACAACCCAGCTGGAGGCACTGCAGACCACAGAGCATACTTCTCACTGAAAATATAATGCAGATACCAACACCCAAGGCATGATCGGGCTTCCCTTCCTATTTTCTTCCTTCATCTCTTACTCCTTGCTTGTCCTTCAGTGCACTTTTTCCTAGATCCCCTACACTCCCTATGTTCTGGCACACACCCGTATCCTATACAGTCTCATCCTTGCTCAAGTCCAATAACCTTAGAGCTAAACTGTGCCCCTCACTCCTGTCCTTCCTCCCCTCCATCAATCAGCCAACGCACACACCCCATGGACTTGCTTCCTGTCCTGGGTTCAGTTCTGAGTTACTAGAATCCAAAAAGGGAAGTGTATTGCCACACAGTTCTGCAAATCTCAGGATATGCCTGTGGGGCGTACGTCATCACACCACACTGACTTTCTGAACAGTATCTTTTTACACAGAAAGTGACAATATCGTGTGTCAGACAGGGGGCAGGGAATAGAGAGGGCACATCATGATTAAATTTTACCTAAAGAAAAAGGAATTTATATGGGAAATCTTCAAAACATAGGGAAAAATCAAAACTACTGATGTCTGAAAGACTTCAACTTTCCCAAACAAGATGTTATGGGTTAAGTACACTCATTCTAAATATACCTGCACAGGGAACACACAAGACTGCACTGGTAAGGGGACTCTAATCAGGCTACTGTAACTGGGACATTTACAGCTGTTATTCCCCTTGGGGACAGCAATTCTAAATGAAAACCAACTTTCTGCCATTAAGTCAAAAGAAATGGAAGTATCTGGTTCCTTATCTGCATATTTTGGGATGAAGATAAGGTAAGGGGTTGGGAACCAGTTACCACAAGTAGGAGTCGGTGCTAGAGGCGCACACGTGTGTGTGCATACTGGAAATAAATGAAAACTAGGTCTGTGCTAAAGATCAACCAGAGCCATTCATTCACAGCTACCCAGGATTTCAACCCATCATAGGAATTAGGAAGTCAAAGAAGACAAAACACTTAAATTTAAACTAACATTTAGATCCCTCCTTTCTGATTATTCCTAAGGAACTGGCTTAGGAAACTGACAAGAGGACTTTGGTTGTAACATTAGATATAGCTGGAGTTTTCTAGCACCTGACGCATGATCCAGCCATCTGATGAATAACATCACTGTGTGCAGGGGTCCTTGCCTTTCACAGTAGTTTCCAAGTACTCTCCAACTATCAAATAAATAACCATCGAAGAAGCAGCTTTGCTCATCTACAGAGGCATGGAGTTCTTTACTACACAAAGTACCTTTGAGAGTAGGAACAATTATTATCCATTTCCACCTGTGTGAAATGATTAGCATGCACAGTACCTTCAAGCTCCATCTTCAGTGATGGAAATATTCCACTGGCCACATGAAGCTACTGGGCACTTGAAATATGGTTAGTGCACTGGAGGAACTGAGTTTTAAATTTTATTTTTCTTAAATTTAAATAGCTACATATAGCTAGTGGCTATATATGGAAAGTACAGCTCTAGACCAAGAACCACAAATCCAGTGCCCACAGGGGTCAGGTAGGTAGTGGAGGGGAGAGATTTTAGACAGCCTTGAGCACTGAGCCACATACAAAGAGGGAAGCAGCTCCTTGGCTCCAGGTTACTGCTGCTGTGTAGAAACCTCTGCCTGGTGTACCCAGATTGTCTCATTTTTCAAATGAAGCTGAAAATCCACATTTTGATGCCCAGGTTTTATTTATTTTTTAAAAATTTTTATGAGTTTATTTGAGCCAAACTGACGACATGTTCGGGAGCAAGACCTCAAATGCTCTGGATGCCCAATTTTTAAATGTTGGCAAGTAAATTTAAAAAATAATTTAAATCATTTTGTGGGCTGAAAAATATGTTTGCAGGCAATATCTGTCTTGCCAGTTTGCAACCTCTATCTAGGACAACCTCTTCTGCTCAAAGAAAAGGGCCTCATCCAAGGCCACTCTGCGGGCCATCTCAGGTTTTCTTCCTTGGATGTCAGCAGCAGATCCAAGGCTGGAACCCAGGCCTTCTGATTCTTCTTCTGATACTCTTTCTCGATTTTATGAGATTGACCACATCTAGATTGTGGTGGCAGTGGCGGCAGCAGCAGGGACAAAAGCCCCTTTGTCAAAAGCTGTTGAATGAGACAGGCAAGCCATGACAGGTGGAATAGGAAGACTGAGATAGCTAGCTGAACAAACTGACAGCAATTTATAGCAGATTACAGAAGGTCACTTCCCTAGAAATAACATGGAGGCCTCAGTTATATTTCAGCTCCAGGCCTAGAAAAGCAGCAAAACCAGGTTGGTGACACCAGAACCAGCTGCAATGAATAAGGACCCCCTGCCCCGGCACTAACCAATCAGTGGAGGCCACTGCCCTGGAGGAGCACACCTAGAAAACCGATGAATATTGTGCTAAAACCCTCCCCTGAGACCTCCTCTAAGATTCCCACCTACAAGAGAGAAATAAAAGCCTCAAGACAAAGGACCAGAGCGTGATCTCCCTCTGGGGAGCACCTGTCCTCCCCCCTCCCTCCCCATTCCCTTTTCCCTTTTCTTCCCCCACAGGCACGCAACTCCTAAACCCTACTAAACTCTACAGGACCCCACCAGACTTGCACCCAGGGCAGCAATGGGCAGTGGCAGCGCATTGCAGGCTAGTCTCCGGATCCTGACCCCAAGGCCTCCTTTTCTCTGACTTCCCAGAGAGCCAGGGCAGCCCAGCCTAGGCTCTCCTGTTGTTTCTTCTATGCTAAGCCCTTTCTTGTTTTACTGTCCCCAGCTTTAGTAAATGTTCCCTCCCAGTCATCTGGACTCCTGTTGTGAAATTTTTCCTGCACGAAGTCAAGAGCCCGCACACTACCTGCTGGCCCTAGGCAGACCCACCAAGGGCCAGGTCCCCTTTCTGGTAACACTGAAGCCCATGACTGGTACCTTATGAACACTGTTCCTACATAGCTATAACCACATGTTGAACCCTATGGATAAGGCTCTCCAATAGGAGCCATCAGGACACACAGAAATAGTCTGTGGGGGAGACAGACATATAAACAACAAGCAAAGTCAGGCTTGCTATAATGGACACAAATCACATGGACGCGAGTCCAAAAGCACTGCTGCCAGGGGAGGGAGGGAAAAGACTGAGCCAGGCCTAAGGGATGAGTAGAAGCTGGTTAGTGGGTGGATGAGTCTCACTGACTATGAGGGTGTGGTCCATTATTCCAGGATATTAAGGGGGCCTCCTTTTATCTTTGAGGACTTGTCTGTGTCAAGAGTTTCCTTTTCAGGCTTCTCCTCTGGGTGAAGAGCCCTAGGAGTTTAGGGGCCTAGGTGATCCAGAAATAAATCCTTACCTATATTTATTATCTCTATGGCTCTTCCCCTGACTTGCAAATCCAGCTTCCCAACATCTGGTAAATACTGACCAAACCTAGTATGTTCACAGAACTCCCAGTATGTCCATCCACAGTTTTCCCTTAGGGGCCATCCTTGGCTGCTCCCTCTCCCGTATGCTTCCCAAACACACCTGGGGCGAGCTCTCCCCCCAGGAGCACACAGGGGCCTTCCCCCTGCCCCTGTTCCAAGTCTCCCCCAACTCTCACCCCACAAGAGGGGTACCCTTGCCATTCTCTCTGGGAAGCTCCAAGGGCCCTTCTTTTGCCTCTGTAACTTTTTTTTTTTTAATATACCTTTATTGATTTCAGAGAGAGGAAAGGAGACGGAAAGAGAGAGATAGAAACATCAATGATGAGAGTCATTGATCGGCTGCCTCCTGCACGCCCCCCACTGGGGATGGAGCCCGCAGCCCGGGCATGTGCCCTGACCGGGAATCGAACCCCCATCGCCTGGATCTTAGGTCGACGCTCAACCGCTGAGCCACGCCCGGCCGGGCTGCCTCTGTAACTTTTTAAATAAATGTTCTCTTATTAAAACGCACACACGACAAAACAAAAGGCACCCTGAATTTAATTCTCTCCATTTCCACTGCAACGAACAACGCAGCCTTCACCTCTCCCTTGGCTACTGCAGCAGCCTTCTAACAGGTCTGACAACTTCCATCCCGCTCTATGCGGCAGCCACGAGATTTCTTTTTTTTAAATGTAAGTCAGATCATGTCACTTCCCTTCCTAAACCGTGCGGCACGCGGCACGCAGACCCTCGCGGCGGGCTCAGGGCTGCGCCCAGGCCCCGCCACCGGCCGTCTCGGGCCGCTCGGGCCCACGTCCTTCCCGTTCCAGCTCCCGGCCCCGCGCTTCCTGCCTCGGACCCTTCGGCTTTTCCTCTCCCCTGGAAAGCTCTTTAGCCAGTGCCCTCTTTTCTGGGGTCCCCGCAATACCCGGCCTCCCCGGAACACCTCACCCGACTTAGAGCGGCGCTCCCCTATCTCGTTACCGCCTTCGGGGGCGTTTCCCACTGGCTGGCATCTTCCTTACTGATCTACTTCTTAACTTTCTCCTGGACTCGAATAGAGGGTCGCGGAGCAAAGCCTCCTTCCGGGGACCGAGGGGATTACGACGCCGGGTCACTATCCTAGGAAGTCCCGTATCCCGAACGGGGCTTCGTTTGGGTCAACTTTCCCAGGCTAGACGATCGCGCCCCGGGACTGACCCTACTAATCTCCCATTTACACTCGGGGACCCAAAGGGTTCAGGATGGCCCCCCGAGGGCTGCAGACCGGCGTCCCAGCGTGCCCAGGCCAGGCCTCCCCTTCCCGGCCCTCGGGCCGCCGGCCTGAGCGGGTTCCCGAGGCCAGAGGCGCGACCTGGAGCCGCCCTCGCAAGCTGGGGTCACACAGGCGCGTCTCCTAGCAACGCCGCACCC